TTAAACAGTTGGGCAATTTTCGCGCAAAACGCGGCATAGTGGAAGGAGTAATGAGCTCTTTGAAGAGTACTCTAGCTGACATAAAACTGCTCTGCGATGACTGTCACTCTATTGCAATGAAACACAAACTCGACAATCTCACCATCGACAAGGTATTTATACAAATATTTCCAAAATTGTACTTCCCATCCCTCGTGAACTATATCCACTCTACTACTGGCAAATAGTGCTCCTAGTTGCTCTGATACGCAATCTCTCCGCAGGATGACAGTGTGGACAGTAGGATCACGAGCAGTTTGGAGTGGTCACTAGAAGAAATGTCCGGAATCCTCGGGAAAATGTCTGGTTTAGTCAACTCTCTTCACTCTCGTCTGCAACCTAAGTCGTGAGATAGCTACATTAGCGAACACTGAATTGTGCTATCATGAGATATGTACCTGTTTTATGTGAAATGGAAAAGATGATACGGTTAAGCATAAGGAACCCGTCCGGCAAAATGGGTCGAATTTCCGGTGATGATGATAATGATTTTAGATAATTGAAGCCCGTATCTATTTGAATGGTAATTGAATGTTTAAGGCAAATTGGTCGTTTATTTTTTGCATATTGTACGTTTTACAAGCTTAGACTTTTATTTCGTGAATCCCGTCACAGTGGAAATTCATACAACTATGTGTCAAGAAATGAAATCCCTAAATATATTTTTGAGTCGATTGAACTATTCAAAATTATTTCGAACTGATCTTTTCACCATTTTAGCATGTATCTGCAGTATTATCTAAACGAAGAGGGTAAGAGGGTGTACACTCTGAAGAAGTTAGCTCCCTCCGGAAAACCGACCTTGTCCGCTCACCCAGCCAGATTCAGCCCTGATGACAAATACTCTAAACACAGGATCCTGACCAAGCAGAGGTTCGGAATACTTCTCACCCAGCAGCCTGCCCCTAAATACTGAACACACTATTCATATCATCTTTAACAGGAGGTGAAGCCTAGCTAGCTACTGGTCCTTACAGTCTTTACTTAATGGGGCCATGACCAGACCAAGCGATTAGCATTCTTGAGGTTTGTATTTCGAATGATTGATTAATTTTGTGCGGAATTAACTAATTCAAATGCGATATTCCAGCAGTTTTGTTAAATTTTATATAAAGTTTAGTTAACTTATTCCTTGTTGTAAAACTTTTCTGTTCTTGCAATGTGAAACAATTTCAGATGTCATCTGTCGGGAAGATGAAGGTTCTAGATACAAGCTAGAAGTTGTTACCACTCATGATGGATAACTATTTTAAAATATACAGGTTAGTGGCTAGTGCATTATGTTACTCGAAATTGTGCTCAATAATTTCATATCCGTACTTTTTTCTTTGAATAAATCATTGTTATATTGAACCATAAATGTTGCAAATTATTCACATTAAGTGCTACTATACATCAAAAGAATTTCTCGAAAATTTTCATCAACAAGATTACATAGTGTCAAAAAGTAAAAAATGTCTACAATCTATCCAGGGTGTCAATTAAAATCATATTGTGATCATAATAAGGCTGAATCGACTGCAGTTCGGAAACCAATAGGTATCTTCTCTAAAATCATCCTCAGAATTATCAACAGTTTATTGAGCGGGAATTAGGGATTAAGTGTGCTCTGTGATTGTGACTATTGTTGGACAGTATCCCCGGTATCCTCCGCTGTCACACGTGGTGGACGAATCACGGAGTTTCTGGGATTGTATTTTTTGACCATACCAACAGTGGTCCCTCCCCACCAGTTGTCATATGTAGAGGCACACGAGAGATCGTCGAAATTACACCGTCTGAGAAGTCTTCCATCGTCAGCTACCCTGAAAAGTGGGTAATTGTTCGCCATCCTGGTATCTGGTTCTGGAACTTGGTTCAGAATTGCCCCGTAGTCACCTTCGTAAGCTTGGTCTCCAAACGCTGTGAATATTTGAGCCACGACGTCCTGCAGAACTTTAACTACTTTCTCTCGGTGTCCACTGTTGAATGTGTCGTAGAATCGTTTCTGGCCCCAGCACGTCCAGCGATCGTTCAGCTTGTTCATGACGTTCAAGCCAAATTTGTCGTCCTCAGCGAAATTGTAATATCCCAGTTTGTAACCGTTAAAACCACCAACGTCTGATCTTAGTTTTTTAACTGGAACTCTGGCGGAAGGTAAAGTTTATAAGAAAGAAAACTCACTTCTAGAAATCATCGAATGGATCAGTTTTTATAAAAAGTAAATTTAGGATCAGATATCTACATTCTACAAATACCTTATGTGGCCAGCAGTAAAGCTTTGCTCGAGATAGTTACAAGAATATGCTGACATTGAGTACGCTTCCTCCAACATTGCGAATCCTAATTCAATTTTGCCACTTCCAGGTGTTCTGTAGACAATTCCTGCTTCTTTTGCCCTAGCAAGTGCTAATTCGTGGCCAATTCTCCATACTTCCAGACTATAGGGTTGATAGTGGTCAAAGTTATGCCGCCCCATTTTAAGAACCTTTCCATCTTTTTTCCCCCATTTCCCTCCGAGAATCGCATCGTACTGTTTCGTGAACCATAAACCGTGTCTCTTGTACATATCAGAGGGCTCGTTATATGTCAAATCATCATCCAGAACCGTTGGAATGGATGGGTCCCCAATTTCATTTCCTAGTACCGACTCCACTGAATTCCTCTCAATTCTCATTAACGCCATCAGTTGGTCGACCTGGGGCTGAAGCACATCTGGGTCCTGTAGAGCTAAATCATTGAAAGCTCTGATAAACTTATCAGCAGGATTACCTGCAGGGTCACAGATAGAATCTTCTATTCCATAGAAGTTGCCAGCCAAGGTCAAAATATCGTTGAAAGATAGTCTTACTCCGTTAGGTAGACGAAGTTTAGGGGTCCTGTCGTAAATATTCAGGTCAGCTATGATGTTTTCAAGGGGCTCAGTGCTGCCTAATTCAGGTAGTGGCGGGATTATTTCCAGGTCTTTTCTCGTGCTGAACACAGGCACTTCTGCTGACCTAACGTTAACATATTGGTCGTTGTAGACTTTGGCGTTTGAGGTGGACTGCCCTTCTTTTTCACTTCTTAGAGGGATTTTAATCGTTGAACTAGGATCGATGTTCTGCCCAATTCTCTTTCTAGATAGTTTACAATATCTTTCAGTCTCGCATACGGAATAACTTGGTTATCCAACTCGTGCATTATTTCTCTGTAGTATAATAGTTAATTAACGATGATTAGATGCAGATCGTTGCAAAATTCATCTTGTAGCGTATCTACTTGTAAACCTATCAATTACTCAATTAAGGATTATTTAAACTGACAAGCTATGTTTTACAATGTACATCAAATCTTTTATAAACATTGAACGAGCAAAAGTAACTATTATCTAAGTTATGAAAAGAAACGGACAATACAGCAGTGATGGCTAACGCTTGTGTCATATTTGCATACACAGGTGGTGTGTAATTCGAGGAGGCCCTTAAACGCGTGATTCCTAAAGCGCGTGATGTTGGAATAGTCGGAAGTCAAAAGTCGAGTAGAACGGTACGATAATCACATGTCTTGTATATTTCGTAAACGATTTAAATTCAATCAAGATGTATATTCGAACACCAATGTATTAAATGGTATTAAATGATTTTGTTACGATATAATAATATTGCTAAATTACAAATTACCAAACAAATCACATTGAAGATTTAAATTTATCGGGTTTTTTATTGCGCAGTGTATATCAGGTTCCGTAAACCACCGTTACAAACTGTGATTAAAAATAAAAGTTGCTGAAGAAGCTGATACGGTATTTGTATTGAGATCAAAAACAGAACAGTACACATAGAAAATGCCCTGTAATGTTTTATAATATAACGGTAGTCGTGTAACCTGATGCCAACATTTTCGTGATGCATACATTTTCGTGATGCATACATTTAAATATTCAAGAAAATTCGTATGATTGTGTGCCTCATAAGATATTTAACGATGATCTAACCATGAGCCATGATTGAACAATGAACATTGACACTCAAAATGAACTTGATTCGTTTTAACCAGTATACATTATATAAATGACCAATGACCTAACAGCAATATATCCCAGGAGCTGAGATGTTTGTATAACTAAGAACTGCAGAATGAAGAACAGTTTCCAAATGGCTGCTATCAACCATAAGATATCTCTGCAAATAGAACCTCCACAACCTCCATCGTGTATGATCCCTATGATCACTGAACTGTGAAATGGTGAGCTAACTATGGCCAGATTAGAGATTGTTCACAATTCACATGTTACTAAATCACTTGAGGGGAGGGAGGAGGTTTCTAAATAATTACGCTTATGTAATTTTAACATAATAGAAATGTGTAAAACTGATTACGGAGGGGGGAAAGGCCGAGGGGGGTTTAAAAATTGACCAAAAATTAATTACGCAATACATAATTTACACGACCCCTAAACATCATTTTGATTTTGATATTTTAAAATATACGGTGTAAATCGCGATGACAATGGACTGCAATGAACTGAGAGCAAACAAACGTAAATGATAGCAGCAAAATCAGATTTTGATATTATAAAACTATGGCTCGAATGAATGATGACTATTATGTAATATGTACACACTTTTTATATGTAATTAGTTGATATAATTATAAACTACTTTTCCTTCCTATTTCCTAAACCCTGTTTACTGCATGTCATATTGTATCATAATCTTGTGTCACATTTGATTAAAAATAACCTCAATATTGTTATCTGGCAATTGTTTGTTCTTCATTTTGAGAAAAGTTCAGGGGGAAAGATTGTGATTTCTGTTAAACATTTTTTTAAAATTCATTGGTTGCATTATTATGATTTAAGAGTTATCTGCTTTCTGTAGTGAAGATTCATTGAATTAAATGCTTAAATGCAATAATATAATAAGGATTAAATACTGTTTGTTATATCATTCCTTCCCCCATTTTAGCATGTATCTGCAGTATTATCTAAACGAAGAGGGTAAGAGGGTGTACACTCTGAAGAAGTTAGCTCCCTCCGGAAAACCGACCTTGTCCGCTCACCCAGCCAGATTCAGCCCTGATGACAAATACTCTAAACACAGGATCCTGACCAAGCAGAGGTTCGGAATACTTCTCACCCAGCAGCCTGCCCCTAAATACTGAAAAGCGCTCCACCAGGGATGTTTAATCCTTTTTATCGGGTTGTACTGTAAACAGAGTCAGGAATGGATCGCGCCGAACATTTTCGGCTGCCTAAATTTTACAACCGAAACTGACTGTATGTAACAGATGAAACGAACGTTGAATTTTACTTTTTTTCAAGCTTTGTTATTATTTGGTGGCTTTCATGATTCTTTAGTCGCCTGGATAGCATTTCAATTTTCTTACATCATTAAATATATTTAATTTATTATTTTAACTGATCTTATTCTTGTGTTTTAATTGAGGTCGGTAAGAAATATCAATGTATATCTTCACCAACTACCAATCAAATTTGTCAATCGGTGCCACGTGTCTAAACAAGTATGGACCAGCTACCACTATCTATATCAAGTCTGTATGATGTGATCTTGATCAGTTCTGCTCCACAATTATCTACTGTTTACACATCAAATTTGTTAATTCGAAATTATCTTTTAATTATTCTCACTATCTTCCTCCCAATAGCTCAATATGGGTATCGATATAAACCATAAAAAGGACCGGAAGGTACACCGGAAGGAGCCAGTCTCCCAGAACGTGTATCTCCGTCTTCTGGTTAAGTTATACCGCTTCCTCTCCAGGAGAACTGCCGCCAAGTTCAACCAGGTATGTTTACAAGCCATCTTAGTGAAGAGGGGGGGAGGGGGGGGGGGGGTTATTAGTTATTATTCATAGAGGTTATTTGTTTGGAAGCGGGATCCTCTAATAAAATAATTCCTTTTTCATTATTCGCTAATTCATCAAACCCTCGTTCAGGTTATCTTGAGAAGACTTTTTATGTCTCGACAAAACAGACCTGCCATCTCTCTCGCTAGAATCACCCGACAGATGAAGTGTCGAGGAAGAGAAGGTATTTCCTTACACTCATAGATGTTCGATATGTCTATTTAAATAAGATTAGTTGTATATTGTGCTTTCTTGACGCGATAGCTCCGTGCGTTGAATAACGTCCGTTAAAAAGGAATAATAATCTAACGTTTTGTTAAACCTCTAGGAAAGACTGTAGTTGTGGTCGGTACCATCACTGACGATAAGAGGGTATTTGACATTCCTCAAGGTCTGAAGGTCTGTGCTCTCCGCCTCTCAGAGGGAGCTCGCTCAAGGTACGTTTGGTAACTTTCAGACCATATAATGGTGTTTCATTCCTCTGAGATTCTGTCTTTGTGATTGTTACTACTAACAGCACAGATCGCTGATTTATCTATTATAAAATGACACAATGTAATCAATGTAATTTTAACATAAACCGTCTCTAGGATTGTGAAGAATGGAGGATCTATAATAACTTTCGAGCAGCTGGCCGTGGAGGCACCTCTCGGTCAGAACACCATCATCATGCAGGGTCGCAGAACCAGACGTGAAGCTAACAGGCATTTCGGAGCACCAGGTCTGCCCAAAACTCATGCCAAACCATTTGTGAGGCTTAGGAGCAGGAACCACGAGATGGCAAGAGGCAAGAGGAAGAGCAGAGGATACAAAGCATAATTTATTTCATCGTATGCCAATTTTATCGTATACAAATATTTGCGTTTCATTCGTTGTGCTTTCCTTAAATGAGTAATCATGTACAATTTAGATGCAGTGGATTTTACTGTATTCTGATTTCTGGTATTGAAATTTGTCTGGACTCTTTTACTTTGTATTCAATATCAAACAACAAATTATCGAACAGCCCCCTAATCACCGATTACTCCGTTACTTAACCCAATCTCATCCTAGCCATGCAGATATTCGTGAAGACCCTCACGGGTAAAACGATCACTCTAGAGGTCGAACCTTCCGACTCTATCGAGAATGTCAAGGCCAAGATCCAAGACAAAGAGGGTAAGCTTTTATTTATTCTTAAAATCCAGCTAATATTTGTTGATCTATGATGCAATGAAATTTCAAATTTATCAGCACATTCTTATCGTCTTCAAATAATTAAATCATCATATCACTTTCTTCTTTCATGGGAAGTGACCTACAAGTTCGTTGTTTGACAATATACCACCTCCCAGGAATCCCTCCAGATCAACAGCGTCTTATCTTCGCTGGCAAACAGCTTGAGGACGGTAGAACTCTGAGTGACTACAACATCCAGAAGGAGAGCACCCTGCATCTGGTACTCAGACTTAGAGGAGGTCAGTAAGATTAGTTTCTATCTTTTCTGGTTGAAACACCCCCTTAGACTGGTCACGTGTTCACCTTTTGGACCGAAGAGTGAATTTCATTGTTTTAATAACTAACAAATTTCATTATTTTATAAATAAACTTTTATGTCGAGGTTTAAAATTGTTATTTAACTAAGATGGATCATAACTTTTGCTATCTTTTCAGGAATCATCGAACCCTCAATGCGTGCCTTGGCTAGCAAGTACAACTGCGAAAAGATGATTTGCCGTAAGTTAATTTGGTTTTTGTCAGATTTTTAGTAGTCCCACCCTAGTCCCACTAACACCTTCTCTTTAAAAAAAGCTGATAAAATACTAACAAACGTATCTGTAATAATACTGGATACTTCAGGAAAGTGCTACGCTCGTCTCCACCCGAGGGCCACGAACTGCAGGAAGAGGAAATGCGGACATAACTCAGACTTGAGAGTAAAGAAGAAGCTGAAGTAAATTCTGTATTGTTTTAATTTTTATCCAAAATTATCGTTTTATTGCTCCAACATCCAAAATATAATACAAATTTACTAGCTCAGTAAACCTGTTTATGCAGCTGTCTTCTTGTAAATAATTGGTGAGATGAGAATCTGATCATTCACACTACTATTCTTGCGGGTAAAATAATTAGTAAAAACTATAAATTTCGGTCCTGGAAATTTCATCTTCAAAAACTGAAAATGAGAGAGATTAGGACAATATGATTTTGCAATTTTATTCGGGATTTTGACTCCCAGTACCTCAATTTGGTTTCATATCATCATCAATTAACTGACTAATTGGTTTCAGGGCAAAAAGTTCGGCCAATCTGTCAAATTTGTGTTCAGAAAATTTCATATTTGAAAATGGGACAGACTTTTGAAAATACAACTTTTCGTTTTGTTAAGCTTTCTGCTGTGCGCTTCTTCCGGCCGAAATCAAACTTTCAGCACCCCAATCGTGTCATATGCCATCTATAGTTGACTTACTAATTGGTTGCAGGTGAAATAATCAGTAAAAACTGTAAAATTTCGGTCCTGGAAATTTCATCTGACTGTCGACCCCTGGAGATGTTCTCCTTCTACAATGGAACTTGATAAACTGAAAGACCTTATAGTTCCCCAACTGGGAAATCTCGCTAACGAAGAACTTAGAAAGGTGCAGAATACATTGGAGAACCTTCTCTGACTAATTGGTTTTTGGGCAAAAACTTCATCCAATCTGTCAAATTTGTGTTCAGAAAATTTCATATTTGAAAATGGGACAGACTTTTGAAAATACAACTTTTCGTTTTGTTAAGCTTTCTGCTGTGCGCTTCTTCCGGCCGAATTCAAACTTTCAGCACCCCAATCGTGTCATATGCCATCTATAGTTGACTTACTAATTGGTTGCAGGTGAAATAATCAGTAAAAACTGTAAAATTTCGGTCCTGGAAATTTCATCTTCAAAAACTGAAAATGGGACAGAGATTGGGACAATATGATTTTGCAATTTTATTCGGGATTTTGACTCCCAGTACCTCAATTTGGTTTCATACCATCATCAATTAACTGACTAATTGGTTTCTGGGCAAAAACTTCATCCAATCTGTCAAATTTGTGTTCAGAAAATTTCATATTTGAAAATGGGACAGACTTTTGAAAATACAACTTTTCGTTTTGTTAAGCTTTCTGCTGTGCGCTTGGGGGGGTACCAATGGCATAAATGGCATAATGGAGAATTGGCCAAACAAAATTTCCATTTATGCCATGAAATTTCTATGCCATTTGATGAATTTTATGCCATTTGTCTCCATTCTATGCCATTCGAAATATGAAATTTTAAAACTTTGAACTGAGAATTTAATTTAACGAATTGTCTGCACCCCACTAGTACTGTCCACCTTTATCTCTATTTATTGTACAACAACATCTATTTTCACCCATTAAATTCCTCAAAATATCCCTAGCAATGGGCATTATTGATTATAATTACGTTCAATGTATATCAATATGATATGATGATTTGGTTGATTGTGGACAAGTGACCGGGCAGTATGGCATAGTACACGCTACACACCGTATAACAGAGAGGACAGTCGACTGAATGCTCCCAGTCAATCGGATATCCAAATTAACAGTGGAAAACTGTAACATTACCAACTCGATTAAAATATTATTTGTTAATGATGTGTACAGATGTATCGTGTCGGGACCGTGTTCATGTAGAATGTTTTGAAATTTAAACATTTTCACAAGATTGATAATGATCTGTGTTTCGAATGGGTAGCCTCTTAAAAGTAATATTCATTGATATCTCGATGAACCTGTATATTAGTATTACATAACAGTTCACCAAATGACCTGAAATACTTGCTTCCTATTATACAAAATTATGATGACATAATATATTGCTTAAATATCTTCATATTCACTGCTGCATGGCAACATAGCACTCCTTAATTATTTTTCTATAATAACGTTAATCTAGTATAATCATTGTAGGATTTTGAACATCTCACAATTTGGGCTGTAGGACTGTAGAGCGGGGGACTGTATGGCGTACTTGGTCAAAAGTAGGACCCTAGAGCGGAGTCAAATCGCCAGGGTAGGAATCTAGAGCGGAACCCCCTTACCGGAACCATACTATAAGGACCCTAGAGTGGAGTCAAATCGCCAGGATAGGACTCTAGAGCGGAACTCCCTTACCGAAACCATACTATGAGGACTCTAGAGCGGTACCCACATGTAAATTTTGGAGCGGTTAGAAATTTGAGATCGGACTGTAGAGTGGACTTGGTCGGAAGATTGAAATCAGATTAGATACAACTCGTGATTGATTATTATAATTGTGAGATTAGAATAATTCATGGAGTTGTTGAAGCAGAAAATTGTCCTAGATTATTTATATTATACATCATATCATATTGTAATTTTTAGATACGTTAGACAATTGTTCGGTATAAACTTCTTCCATTTGACTGAAATATCCTGATGCTACTCTAAAATGCAAAAAGATTCTTTGATAAAGAGGTATAATTATGAACTGGTCGATGTGATTTCGCTAAGCGAAATACCGACCAAGTACGTGCACTCAAGCAGATCATTTAGGAATGAGGATCTCATCGCGTGACACTTTAGCACCTACTAAGGGTATCTCATGCTCAGTCTAGTGACAGGGTATGTTCCAGATCAGATCCCATCGCATAGCGGTTCTTGTTAGTGATTTCGATAGTGCAGTATAAATGTCACAGAGAATTTAGTTTAGTATATCACATTCGATTCCTACTCCTCTTCACAACTATCTACAATATGCTGAGTAACAGTTATTACTTAACTCTTCCTGAGAAGGCCGTCTTCATCCGGGGACGAACAGCTGAGATGGGTACGGGAGAACGGACTGAAGAAGGACTACGACGAAGGAATTAACGACCCCCTTACCAATTCCTGGACTTCAGGTCCTGTTCGAGTGTGGATACGTAGACTTATGCACTATGCAGCTTGCCTTTCTCCCAGTGGACGATGTTCTCCCTTCTTTCATGGAGCTCCTAGATCTTATACCCTCCCACCTTGGCCTCGACGACTTCCTTAACTACTTCATGACGAATTGGGTACAGGGAGTTTCCACCGCTCGTAGCACCAAACCTGCCCGCTTTCCTCCGCAATCCTGGAACCTCGTCGACCGGACTACCTGCAACTTCAACTACGCAGAGGCCTTTAACAGAAAGTTTGCAGCAATGTTGGGACACTCTTACCCAACTATCTGGACCTTTCTTCAAGCCGTCTACATAGAACAGTCCACTACAGATGAGATGATGCTCAAGGAGAGTTACGGGGATGCTCCTCCTGCAAAACGAGCCCGTCAGCGTACCAAGGATAGCCGACTGGCACATTTAGTAAAAGTCTACGACGATCATGACATTGTCTCACTCTCCCACCTTGACATGTTGAGGAACGTGATGGTCGAGGAACTGAGTGAACTATTTTAAGATATTTGATTCGCAGTATTAATGTATAATAAGTTGTATCAATTCTATCATCATTATGTGACGACTATTATTAATCATTGATTAAAAAACATAGCTCAATCTTCAAAACTAACTTTACTCTCAAATTTCTAACCGCTCTAAAATTTGCATGTGGGTACCGCTCTAGAGTCTTCATAGTATGGGTCCGGTAAGGGAGTTCCGCTCTAGAATCCTACCTTGGCGATTTGACTCCGCTCTAGGGTCCTCATAGTATGGGTCCGGTAAGAAGGTTCCGCTCTAGAGTCCTACCCTGGCGATTTGACTCCGCTCTAGGGTCCTACTTTCGAATTTGCTTTTCTTGAATAGTCAAATGTTTGGTATATGTTTGATATAATACATTTCTATTTTCTTTATTTGTCATATGAATCTTTAAAGATCATTCCAAGCGTTATAAAGCATGAAACATGTCTTTTATTCAAGTACTAATAATATTTGCGAATTTAAAGTCATCCTAAAGGTCAAATATGAAGACCTAAATTCATGGCATAAATTGGCATAAATGGAGAATTGGCCAAACAAAATTTCCATTTATGCCATGAAATTTCTATGCCATTTGATGAATTTTATGCCATTTGTCTCCATTCTATGCCATTGGTACCCCCCCGTGCGCTTCTTCCGGCCGAAATCAAACTTTCAGCACCCCAATCGTGTCATATGCCATCTATAGTTGACTTACTAATTGGTTGCAGGTGAAATAATCAGTAAAAACTGTAAAATTTTGGTCCTGGAAATTTCATCTTCAAAAACTGAAAATGGGACAGAGATTGGGACAATATGATTTTGCAATTTTATTCGGGATTTTGACTCCCAGTACCTCAATTTGGTTACATATCATCATAAATTAACTGACTAATTGGTTTCTGGGCAAAAACTTCATCCAATCTGTCAAATTTGTGTTCAGAAAATTTCATATTTGAAAATGGGACAGACTTTTGAAAATACAACTTTTCGTTTTGTTAAGCTTTCTGCTGTGCGCTTCTTCCGGCCGAAATCAAACTTTCAGCACCCCAATCGTGTCATATGCCATCTATAGTTGACTTACTAATTGGTTGCAGGTGAAATAATCAGTAAAAACTGTAAAATTTCGGTCCTGGAAATTTCATCTTCAAAAACTGAAAATGGGACAGAGATTGGGACAATATGATTTTGCAATTTTATTCGGGATTTTGACTCCCAGTACCTCAATTTGGTTTCATACCATCATCAATTAACTGACTAATTGGTTTCTGGGCAAAAACTTCATCCAATCTGTCAAATTTGTGTTCAAAAA